GCATTTGCCTTTGGAGAGAGAATTATGCCCTTTTGATTTGGCACCTGTGACCTCTACAGCTATACAAATGGTATTTGGTGATACAGTGGCGATTGCTTTAATGGGGGCAAGGAATTTGAGCAAAGAAGAGTATGCTGCGAATCATCCTGCTGGTAGGATCGGGAAAAGCTTGATCTTTAAGGTAAGGAATAGTAATAATATCTTGTCATAATTCATTAATTTTGATGTACCTTTGTGAAATGTGATTACTTTGTGGTGTATTTATTGTGGATTTTATGTAAGATCTTGGAAATATTCCCTAAATTGCGCTATTTAAGACTTGAGTTTGAGCATGGAAAATGTTGGAGCTTGTCTCACCACCCTCTCACCACTCTATTTATGTATTCTTTCTGTTTTGGCCATGGAAAAATGAGGGGGAAATAAGGATCATCTTGGTTTTATTGTGCCTTTAACGCGTAGGATCTGCTTAATTTGGTTTTGGAAGTCCAAATCTTGGGTGTTAAAAGGTTATTTAGGTGTTAATGCTTGTGTTTTATTGCATTACGGTAGGCAGTTGTAGTCGGTTGCAATTGATGTAAAGGGTGAATTTTGAGGGCTACTTGCATTCTGGTGTCTTCTTTGGATTTTTACCCTCTCAAAGAAAGTTTATTTCCCAGCAATCCTTTTAAAGCTGCATAATTGATTTTCTCACCTTCACGCAAAATTTTGGATATGCAATGATACTATTGATTGGCTAGCTGTGTTAGCTTCCAGCCGTCTGTTAAGAATTGCATAAAATTTTCATGTGTGCATCTGGTTGATTTGAGCCAAAATGGTATCTTGACGAGTAAATTAAAAGTTTACTCGTCAAGATACTCCTGAGCTTGCCATCTCTCAGGTGTTTGTAGAGAAATATCTGAATAGTTAAAAAATTGGTGACTGATGGATAACTTTGTAGGTGAGAGATGTGATGAAGAAGAAAGAAGAACTTCCAATTTGCAAGGAAGGAGATCTTATTATGGATCAACTAGTAGAGTTGACAAGCAAAGGATGCGGTTGCCTCCTTGTTATTGATGAGGAGTTTCATCTGCTAGGCACATTCACTGATGGTGATTTACGTCGGACATTGAAAGCCAGCGGGGAAGGAATCTTTAAGCTTACAGTAGGAGAAATGTGTAACAGGTAATTTCTTACTTTTACCTCTGTAGCATATTTTTACCATCATTATATCAGTTCCACTGAAAGACCTAATCCATGGGAAAAAGAACAAGCAGGAAAAAAGGCAGAAAGGAAGAAAGATATATTGAATAATTAAAGAAAAATTCCTCGACAAGCACATTTTGCTGTGGTAGAATGTGGTTGGACATAGATTAAAGATTTTCTCGTTATCTAGAAATAGATCTAACTTTTTTTTTTTAATCTATAGTGCAGTACTTAATTTTCTTTGGTCGTCAAACTTAGGATCTTGGTATTATCTTTCCCTTTCCAAAATCTCAGTGGCATATTGTTCTAATGAGAACATATGTCTTTTTGCATAAAATCTGCTATAGCATTAGATGAGGGCAGGATGGTTAAAAATGATGCCGATTGATGGGCCAATCTTTGTGCTGCAGTTGAAAGGAAGTAAATGATAAATCACATTTTGGCTTTGTAAAGTACTGTTGTAAACATTACATAAGTCATCACTCCTGGGATGTTATTCAAGTTTTCTTCCAATAGGAGTTTGAATTTTGGGATATTTACCTTCTTCATTTAATCGAAGTAGGATGGTGTCCTCCCCCCCCCCCCCGGCGGTTGGTTCTAATAGTTGTAGCAGTAATGATATTATTAGTTCTTCCTTGATCATTTTAACCTTTGATGATACAGTCTCTCGAGAAGGAATTTGGATTATTATGGAGGTCACTATATGTGTCCTCTCATTATAAGAATTTTTTTCAGCAATCATAGTTTTCATCGAGAAATCATATTCGTATGTTATTGATTCAGTTTCGTTCCTTTTCTCACCATCAGAGTATGCTAAGCATAAATAACTTTGATATGGGACCATATTGGGAAAGCATGATGGTAATGTTTACGTGCTCAAGTGATAAACATAGTATTTGATAGAGAAATTGAAGAATATTCTATGGACAGTTCTTCCAGAGGTTATCAAGAAAGTTTGTCGGTTTATTGAATTCTATGTCTAATTTTAGTTACATTTTGAAGTTTCCTTATCTACGAGAGAATAAGAGATTTATACGTGTGAGGGAACAAAAAGTTACGAACAGTTATATTCTTGTGAGATTAAGGCATTTCTATAAATTTATTTGGTGTTTCAGGAAACCAAGGACAATTGATCCTGATGCTATGGCAGTTGATGCGATGCAGAAGATGGAGTCTCCGCCATCTCCAGTCCAATTCTTGCCAGTTATTGATCAGGATAATGTTTTGATTGGTATTGTTACATTACATGGACTGGTCTCAGCAGGCTTGTGAAGTTCTTGCCATTATTATCCACACTCTTTCCATCATTAGTTGTGTCATTAATTCTTCTTGTATATTGTTGGGTTTCTTGCCCTTATTCTTAAGCAGATATTCTTTACTCCTGTAACAATGATGAATATTATAGTCGTGTTATTAGACTTATAGATTGGGCTTAGAGTTAGACCTCTGTATCCCCTCTTCTGGCCCTCCATTCTCCTACTGTTATATATGAGCTACGATTTTCTCTCATTGGTTCCAAACCGCCGTATTGCATCTTTAATTCCTTTTGCTAATTTTGTTTTTCTTTTTGGTATCACGTGTTACTTACTGATAGGCTAATAGCTGATTCTTCTTTTTTTTTTAAAAAAAAAAACCTTTCTATTTTGTTTGCTTTCTTTTTCTTTTTCTTTTCCTTGTCCCTTTCTATCTAGGATTGTCTTTCACAATAACGTAGTAAAAATTGCACGGGCGCCCTATTTGGTCGCCCCCATTTAACCTATACTCATTTTTGTAAAAAGTTTTAACTTATACCCACTTTTTAAACAAATTCAGCCCCCCTTCTCTTCCTCCTCCACGCAAGAGATGCATTGTGCAGTTCGCCAGTAGATTAATTCTTTATTTTGAGATATCTATTTGTAATTTGATGTTCAGTTAATTAGGTTGGAGAATTCTTCCATGGCTTTGTTCCTCAACAACTGCAATAAAGAATCTTCCGGTGGAGATAGGAAAGAGAGGTGATGAGCTTGTACTGTGGAGCTCAGGAAAATGGGATAATGATGCTGAAGTTTCGTTGGCAGTGGAAATGGGACTCCTATGAGGCATAGCGATGGGATTATCTTGAGGCAAATTATCATTCTTAAAATACTCTAAGAAGGCTGAAGTTCGTCAATTACAAACAAAAACTTCAGCTTTAGAGCTGAAGTTCGACAGTTACAAATAAAAATTTCAGCTCTAGAGCTGAAGTTCGACAGTTGCAAAATAAAAACTTCAGTTTTAGAGCTGAAGTTCGACAGTTACAAACAAAAACTTCAGCTCTAGAGCTGAAGTTCGACAGTTACAAAATAAAAACTTCAACTCTAGAGTTGAAGTTCGCCAGTTACAAATAAAAACTTCAGCTCTAGAGCTGAAGTTCGACAGTTACAAAATAAAAACTTTAGCTCTGGAGCTGAAGTTCGCCAGTTACAAACAAAAACTTCAGCTCTGGAGCTGAAGTTCGCCAGTTACACAAAACAAAAACTTCAGCTCCAGAGCGTTCGACAGTTACAAAACAAAAACTTCAGCTCTAGAACTGAAGTTCGTCAGTTACAAACGAAAACTTGAAGTTCGACAGTTACAAAACAAAAACTTCAGCTTTGGAGCTGAAGTTCGCCAGTTACAAACAAAAACTTCAGCTCTAGAGTTGAAGTTCGACAGTTACACAAAACAAAAACTTCAGCTCTAGAGTTGAAGTTCGACAGTTACACAAAACAAAAACTTCAGCTCCAGAGCGTTTGCCAGTTACAAAACAAAAACTTCAGCTCTAGAGCTGAAGTTCCTCAGTTACAAAAACAAAAACTTCGCCAATTACAAAACCAAAACTTCAGCTCTAGAGCCAGAGGCGGATCCAGGATTTAAGGGTTACCGGTGCCGACCTAATCGATTTGATCAACTCGAGCGTCGGTTCGGGTTATACATCCTTTTTATTTATATAGACAAATAGATCAAACGAAAGAAAATATAATAACTATAACTAATTGACGCAAAGCATAAAACTTCCAACAATATTTTTAATATCATACACAATCTATTTACAATTGTCCTCTACGAGCTTTCATATTTTGAAAACGATCAATAATGACATCATTACTTATATTTGTAAATACATCAAGCTCTATGTAACAAACTAAACAATCATTTAAATATTGATCACCCATGTTGTTCCGCTCTTCATTCTTTATCTGCTTCATGGATGAGAATGCTCTCTCCACAGTTGCGGTAGCAACAGGTAAAATTAAAGTTAACTTCACAAGTAGATAAACATACAAATAAGTCTCCACAAGATTTGTCTCAACCAATGCTTTTGCCAAATCGCTAATTCCTTGCAAGTTGGAGAACTTGGGATGGCCAGCTCGCATATGAATTATGAAAGTATCTAGTTGATAACTCAAGTCTCGAATCTGTACTTCATCAAACTCATTTGGGTAACATTTTGCTAAAGCCATTATTCTACCTTTATCAAAATTAGCAAAAGAATTGATTGGATTCAAGCTAGCCATCCCAAGAAGCAATTCGCTACTCACTACACCAAAACGGTCATTAAGCTCTTGAAGTTGCACACCAATTACAGCATAAAAGATATCAACACGCAAGTGGTGTGAATAACAAATACCAGAAGACTTGCGCTTCGAATTTCCAGGAAAATAGGATTCATCCATCTTGGGAATTATAATATCATGCATATGACAAAATGAGGAAACATCATCTAGCAAAGATTCCCATCCAGTTTCCCTCATATCTTGCAATCTTTTCTTTGTAATCTTAAGAAACTCCATGGCATTAACAATATCTTGATCTCTCTTTTATAGGATCTTGTTCAACTCATTTGACATTGCCAAAACTTTCAACATCAAGTGAAGCATAAAAACAAATTTAAATGTTATTATCTCACTCAAAAGATATTTTGCTTGATTTCTCTCATTTGAGGTAGAACCTTCATGTTCAATCACTTCAAGCACACGAATAATAGATGAGAAAATAACAATAAAGTTATCTAATGTTTTGAAATGTGATCCCCAACGAGTATCACCTGGTCTTTGAAGCTCGCGTTCTTGATTTAGTCCTTGCCCGGTATGAATTTCACCAGACTCAAGTAATTGCTCCAGTTTTTCAGCTTGAAGATGGCGAAGCAAATCTCTGCGCTTAAAAGATACTCCAATGACATTCAACACATTAGTAACATGACAAAAGAAGTCTTCGACATCCAAATGCTTTTTAGACATAGCTACAAGTGTTAATTGCAATTGATGAGCAAAGCAATGAATGTAATATGCCGATGAGCTGTCTTTCATAATCAAAGTCTTAAGACCACTTATCTCTCCCCTCATGTTACTAGCTCCATCATAACCTTGTCCACGTATTTGGGATGGACTTAGTGAGTGGTCCGAAAGCAAAGAGTAGATTGCTTCCTTCAATGAGCATGCCGATGTATCACTAACATGAACAAGACCAACAAATCGCTCTACCACTTCACCATTCTTATCAATATAATGCAAAACAAGAGCCATTTGTTCTTTGTGTGAGATATCTTTGGACTCATCAACTAATATACCAAAGTAGTCTCCATTCAAGTCTCCAATTATAGCCTTTAATGTTTCTTTTGCACAAGCATTGATAATATCCTTTTGGATTATAGGGCAAGTCAAAGTATCATTTTATGGAGCATTTTCTAATATTACTTTTCCCACATCCGGATGCTTGTCCCCATGCCATCGTAAGAATCCTAGAAAAAGGCCTTGATTTGTTGAAGATTCACTTTCGTCATGTCCCCTAAAAGGCAATCCATACAATAATAGAAGTCTTGCCACATCAATTGATGCTTCTAAACGCATTCGATACTCACTTTTTAACTTCTCGGAGTGCTTATCAAAAACAACTTGAATTGATTGATGATGATTTGATAAATCTAGAATCTTCTTGAAACATTTATCATAGACACTATTAACATCACCAACGTGTAAACGCAATATTTCAAGACCCTTATTCCAAGCCCTAAAACCATTTTTTGTATAAAATTCACCTGCACTTCCATGAATAAATTCATTTTTGAACAAATAACAACATAAGCAAAATGCCGCATCTTTCTTCACACTATACTCCAACCATTTAGAAAATTGACCATTGAACCAACTTGGAACAAATTGACGCATTCTTACTCCTATTAGAGTTTTGGGAAATTGATGCTTGGAAGGTTGACAAGGATCTTGTTGAATGTAATGTTTCCTTACTTCATCTCGTATTCTAGGGTTATAGTCAGAAATAGGTATTCTTTCTCCTAGATCGCCTTTAAGTGACCCCAAATCGAGTTCATTTATAAGATAGGAAAGATTGGCATTCGCTTGGATCAAGGATTGACAACTAGGACTTGGTTGAGAATGGTTCAACCTCGTGACAAATTTATCCATCTCACTTCAGTTCCTATAAAATAGAAGTTCATTCCAGTGAGAAATATAGACCAATTTCTAGTAGGTCATACCGTCAATAAGTTTTGTTATTTTAAATAACTCAACCTTCCCTAATATTTTTATCGTCGTTAAAATAGAGTTAATTGTGAATTTTCCTTGATCAAAATTATTTGGGATGTTCTTTCCACGATACTAAATTCTACAAAAACCATATAAGAGGCATTTGATTTTCAAACACACCCAAAGAAATACATAACAAAAAAATCAAAATAGTGACAATAAAGTTTAGCAAGAACACTAAAATCCAACTAAATACAAAACAAAAACATGAGCAAGAACATATATTTCATGGGGGAAAAATAGCCACATAGGTTTAAGAAATAAACATGAGGAGGTGAGGAAACTTTACAATGGTGGGCGTAGAGCAATGAAGGTGTGAAGCATCTGAGAGATAAAGCAAAATAAATGCTAAAGTCTAATAGAGAAGCAAGAAGCAGAAACAGTGGCATGAAGGTGAAGCAGCGAGAATTGGAGAAAAGGAAAGGGGAATGTGGCGTAAGGGATTTGGGGAGTTGGGGATTTGTTTTACCTTTTGAAAATTGGGATTTGGGAAAGATCCTCAAAAAGGATTTTAACTTTCTATATTAATTATAAGAGAATACTTTTATTATTATTTTATCTTATTTGTTTAATTTATACTTAATTAAATAAACAGAAAAGTCAAACATTTAATATAAAATATAGAAGAGTGTGTTGTGTAGTGTATTTAATCTCCTTAAATTGCAACTGAATGTAAGCCAAAAAAGTATTTGCTCCCACAAGGATTCGAACTCTTGCAACAAAAGGGCAAACCTTTGTCATTGGCACCTTTGTCACTTTTGTTTTATGGGGTGGCACTTTAAATATATATCCTATTTGTTATACATATTTACATATATACATAAAGTTTTCGCCGAAACTTGCGGGTGGCGTACCACCCCGAACCATGTACATAGATCCGCTCCTGTCTAGAGCGTTCGCCAGTTACAGAACAAAAACTTCAGCACACTTGCTACATCAACCCCGCATGCTGAAGTTATGCGAAAAAGTGGGTACGCTTGCAATTTTTTTTGCAAAGCGGGCACAAGTTAAAGCGTGATCCAAAAAACGGGTATAGATGCAAATACCCCAATAACGTACGTCACAAGGAAAAAATTAAAAGCCCTTCAATGTAATCTCTTTCTCTTCGTAACTATTGAGCATCCATTAATCCCTAGCATTTAAAGTTCTGGGTCCTTGAATATGGAACTGAATGAAGATATAGTAATGGATATTATCTCCCGCTTGCCTGTGAAGCTTGCAATTCAATGTAGAGTTCTCAGAAAGAGTTTTAATAGCAAACTTTGTGAACCAAACGTTTCTCAAAGTTATGCTTCCCGATGGTTTCAAGATCAAAATATTTCTAAACAAGTCATCTACTCATCTTCATTATCATTATCATTATCATCATCACGGTACGAATTATCAAACTAGTTCCATAAAGTCTCCGTAAACACTAGCCGATTCGGAAGATCAACGACTTCATCACTTAACGTTTCCGTTTTGGCCCCTTGCATGGGTCTCCTCCTTGAATTTCGGCAATTTAAGATTTTCTGTATTTTCAATCCTATAACAGGGGTGCACCAACTGATACCTTACCCAGAGCCTAGAAACTACTTCAGAATAATTGATGGTGGCGTAGCTAGGGATGACAATGGAGCGGTGCGGGGCGGATTTTGTTTGATGCGGGGCGGGGCGAGTTTACTCATATGCGGGTGCGGGGCGGGCGGGTTAAAACAGTTTTTAAAAATTTTAAAGTGGGGCGGGGCTTTAATGCGGGTTTAAGCAGCTTTGAATTTCATCCTTTATGAAACAAAGCAATAACTTCAACTATAATTTTACATTCTTTTTTACTAGCATGAATGCTATTTTGAATTATAATTAACCAATTTACATAAGTCTCAACAAAATGATATTACGTAAATTTGTCAAATTTTATGTGATACAATTTTCATATGAGGTGGAGCGCGCGAAGATTTTTTCTTTTTAATGTCATGCCCCTAGATTATAATATTATCAATATTTGCGACATGCGTGAAAACTGAATATATAATATAATAGAATCCATGTGTGTAATTTTTTAATTTTTCCTCCATGTGGAGTTTTTTCTTTTCGATTTTGAAATTTTAATTATTTTTGGCAAGAAGATCAGTTCATAGCTTCAGCTAAGCTCTCTACGCAATTTCCCAATTCACTGTCCAGAACAGTCTTCTTTCACTTCTATGTCTTTTTTGTATTCGTCGGTGTGTGGATAAAGAAAGTAAAACATAACTTAACTATAAAAATATGTGTACTGACACCTATACTACATCTAATATGGTATTTCAGTATTGTGTATCCTCCTATATCTAATCTGGCATCACAAAATAAAAATACTCTGTCTTTTTTAAAAAAAAAAAAAATATTAAGCGGGTCGGGACGGGTTGAAAACTAAAAAAATAACTATGCGGGACAGGGCGGGTTAAAATTTTTGTGGATTTTACCAAACCCGCCCCGTCCCACTGCCAACCCTAGGCGCAGGATTAGTTGTTGATTATCCTACATCAAATCGACATTATAAGGTGGTGACTATTGGGATGCTGAATAGATACAAAGGGTATAAATTTTGTGTATTTTCATCAGAAGAAAGTAGAGTAGTGTGGCATGAATTCCAATTGCGAATCAGGGGCGAATTTGTAGGCAAATTGACGGGGCAGGTGAACCCATGGTCTTTCCATCAAACTAGGTATTTGATGTACAATTTTATTGGAATTAGTCTAGTATTCTCTGCTGGCACCTATGCTTCAAAGAGGCTAAATGATACACTTGATTGAATGATTAGGACTAGGGATCAAATCCCATTTAAAAAAAAAAATTCCTCCTTTTTTAATGGTGCACTCATATTATAAAAATCCTAGATTTGTTGCGAATGGACGTTTATGATAACTATTTAGTCGGTCCACAGCCTGTTTACGTGCACGATTGCTTGCACTGGGTTAGAAGCGACGCTAATATCCTTGCTTTTGATACAAAGAGTAGTAGTACTGGACAGGCTAGAATTTTTAACGGTCCTGATGAGATCATCAAATACTTATCTGATGCATGGTTCGGGTTGGCGCAAGGTGCACTTACCCTAGTTTGTGTCTTAAGATTTACAGTAGTAATTTTTGGTTATGATTATGTAAGCCACAATTGGAAAGTTTCATACACTTTGGCCAACTTGATCATGGTTTTCCAATATGGTTTGACGGCAAAAAGTTGCTTTTCCTGGTTAGACGTCCGGTTGTGCCGCCGCATGTATATGGCTATCTATACGAGTATGATTCAGAGAGAAAGACGTATGAAAAAGTAGATGCACTACTTTTGGATTTGAATACTACTATCATCTTGCGACACTTTTTTTCCTTTGAACCAACATGAGCCAATGTCCCAAAGATAGTGCTTCCCCCTTACACGGTCAACTCTAAACATTTCCCAGCCATTACTACAATATTAAATGAGTTTAGATATCTTATTGCTAATTATAAACCTAGAGTTGAGCGTGTTCCAGGAAGAGCTGTAAACAAATTTCCCTGCATAAACTGGAAAATAAAATCGTTATATATAAATTGTCACACAAGGTAGGGGTAAGATCTATGTACACATTATCCTCCTCAAACCTCACAGTGTAGGATAATATTGGGTATACTATTGTGTATAAATTGTCAAGTGGTTCAACCTTTCAGATTTCTGTAATACTGGGCAATCTTTCCGGAGGAAGAAAAGTGGTTCTAATTAATAAAAGATTAGTTGCATATATATTATTTTGTTGTTTCTTTAATTCAGGCCACTATTACATTTTATAATGCCAAAATTGCCTTTTGGGTTGAAACTTCCGTCTCGATACAACTTTGAAGAATTAAAGCAAACATTCACTAGCCCAAATTTTCAATCATGTCGTACTTTTTACAAATATTAATACTTTATTTATTTTAAATAAATATTATTTTAAAAAATTATATTCCATAGCTACCTTTTAATTTTTATAGCCAAATATTTATTTATGGTCACATCCTACCCTTAAGCCATAAAATACGCTTTGTATTATTTTTCTCTCTCATTCTTTCAGATTTTTATCCACCCTCTCTCTCTCAACGCCAGTTTTCTCCATAAATACAAACTCATGGATTCTCTCTCATCAATTCCTCCATCGATCGTTCTTCCTCCAAGAAAACTTCTCCGCCACCACAACCATCAGCGACGAATCTCCACTCTTTCTTCTCACACCAAGCAAAAATCATTGTTTCCTCAATTCCGGATACCTAGAAGTTGTAATAGAATGAGGTCTATGGCTGTTTGTTGCAAATTGTATAATAGCTAAATCAGGATCGTTTTGTGCGGAAACCAATCCCTTCAACAATGTCGGGTCCATCTAGCCCATGGTCGCGAGCTTTGGTACAGATCTCTCCGTACACTTTCTCAGCCATCGAAATCGACATTGCCATTGGTGTTTCAGTGCTTGGTGCTACTTGGTAATTCTTTATTTATCTCGTTTATTGCTCTCACTAGAGTCAGAATCGCGGCCCTCTCAACGAGACGACATTAGGGTTGTTCTTGAACAAAGACGACGGAGATTGGGGCTGAGCGACTTGAAGATGTTGTTACCTTTTTTTTAAAGTGTATTTCAATGTATTTCATTGTCTTTTTTC